TGTAACATTCAGCTTAGAACAGAACAGGCGCTCATGTAGCTGCTATGACTATTCAGTATGTAAAAAATCCTCAAGAAGTTTAATGTAACCAGAAGAGAAAATAAGTTTGAGGTAAAGCACAGGATTTCCAGCCATAGAGGTAAGACCAGAGCAGGTGATGAAGGTGTTGCATGCCACTTATGGGCTGGGACAGGAAGCACATTTAAATGTCTACAGGGCGCAGAGAGGCAATACAAAGGACACACAAGAGTGGGCTACGGCAGCGTAGCAAGGCTTTGGTAAAATGAACAGTGAAAAAAATCCCAGACAGCAACATTTTCTAATTTCTAAATAAGGCCTATCTTTAAACACGGCAGGATTTGGTCACTAGTTTGAAATCTTTGAGAAATTTTAGTCCCCTGTTCAGAGTTCCAAGTGGACCCTTCTCTTACGTGCTAACAACAAAGGAATTAATAATTCATAAGGCTATAAGCCAAAAGAGGATGCATTGCTTCCTTTTAACAAGGGGAAAATACTAATGGCTTCTATCTCCAGCTAAGATGAAATAAAGAGGACCAGATTTACCCTCCAACATTAAAAATCTAGAAAATCAGGCAAAATATATAAAATAATGGCTTACATGCATGAAACAGCAGGTAGCACAGGACTAAGAAGCGAAACAAGGTAAGCCCTACAATTGCACTAGTTTACTACATGAAGTCAGTTTCCAGGCAGCGTGGAGGGGAAGGGAAATCCAAACAGAACGTGGTGATCTCACAGAAACAAGGAAAGAGAAATCAAAGTCTGTGGGGCTCAAGGTGGCTGGAATTTGGGTATCAACTGTCAGAATTGAGGGAGCTACCCAGAAAGACAGCTCCAGAGATCTGCAGAAGTGTCACCTCCAATCTTTAATTAAATACTGATGAGCACAGCCTGAGCAGAGACTATTCAAGGCCAAAGGAAGAACCACTGCAAAGATGAAGGAGGAATAACCTCCAGAGGTTACAGAAGACTAGGAAGAGTTTGTGTTCCCGTGACCAGAGAGAAAAGACCTCATGGCAAAGAGAGTATAGGGCAGAATCCTCAAAAGAATATCACATTATTAGTGAAACTAAATTAGCCCTGGCCTAATGGATACTCTGGTCCTGACGTAACAGGGCCTAAAAGCAAGCCGTAAAAGGATTCAACTGACTACAAGTAACTTAATAGCATTCCAGAACAAAAACTCAACACTATTTAAAGAAATATAATAAAATCAATTCCAGCAACCAACATCATAAAATTTACAATGTCCAGCATCCAATAAATAATTATAAGGCAAGAAAGGAAGCAGAAAAATAGAGCCCAAAACTATGAAAAATATCAATCAATAGAAATAGCATTTAAAAATGACAGAGATGATGGAACTAGCAGAAAACGGAATTAAAGCAGCTATTATAAATATGCTTTATATATTCAAGAAAGTAAAGAAAAACATGAACATGGTGATAAAAGAAATAGAAGATATATAAAAGATGCAAATGGAGTTTGCAGAGATTAAAATTACAATAAATGAAATGAAATATATACTGGGTGGAAATAAGAGTTTAGATGATAGCAAATTTGAACACTTAACAGTAGAAAAAATCCAAAATGAAGGATAAAAAGATAGAAAAGAGGAAAGATAAAAAGAAAAAAAAAATAACTGTAATCTGTAAGACAATATCAAGTAGTCCCAGAAAAGGAGGAAGGAAAAGAAAAAAAAATATATATATATATATACAAACATATAAAATCTCCCAAAAATGTCTTGATTTTTTTTATAAGTTGATGGGGTACAAGTGCAATCTGGTTACATGTATAGATTGCATAGTAGTCAAGTCAGGACTTTTAGGGTATCCATCACCTGAATAAGTACATTGCACCCAGTAAGTAATTTCTCATCATCTACCCCGTTCCCACTCTCTTATCCTTCCAAGTCCCAATTGTCTATCCATTCTACTCTGTACATCCACGTGTACATGTTTTTTAGCTTCTACTTATGAGTGTGAACATGTGATATTTGCCCTTCTGTGTCTGACTTGTTTCACTTAAGATAATACCCTCCAGTTCCATACATGTTGCTGCAAAAGACATGATTTCATTCTTTTTCATTGCTAAATAATATTCCATTGTATGTGTATATATATATATATATATATATATACACACTATATTTTCTTTATCTAATTATCTAGTTATCTACTGATGGACACTTAGTTTGATTCCATATCTTTATGATTGTGGATTGTGCTGTGATTAACATACAACTGCAGGTATCTTTTTAATATATTAATTTCTTTTCCTTTGGGTATTGGGATTGCTGGGTTGAATGATAGTTCTATTTTTTGTTCTCTGAGATATTGCCATACTGTTTTCCCACCAAGAGTGTACAGGAGCTCCCTTTTATCCACATTCTTGCCAACATTTGTTATTTTTTTACTTTTTATATAATAGCTATTCTAACTGGAGTTAAGATGATATTTCATTGTAGTTTTCATTTGCATTTCTCTGATGATTAGTAATGTTAAACATTTTTTCATACACACTTTCTAAATCTTAAGGGATAAATAGGCACATATACAATTACAAGTGGATATTTCAATAGTCATGTTTCAGTAATTGATAAAATAATAAGATTAATAAATATACAGAAGATTTGAACAAGTTGACATAATTAATATTCATGGAACATGCTACTTAACAGAAGACTTCACATAAAATATTTATGAAGACATATCACACTGTGGATCATGAAAAAAAATAAATTTTTAAAAATTGAAATCATACAAGGTATGTTCTCTGGCCACAACAGAAATAAATCAGAAAACAATAACTTTTAAAATCCCCAAGTATTTGTTAATTAAACTGCATACTTCTAAATAACCCAATTATCCAAGAAGAAATCACAGAGAAAATTAGAATATATTTTGATTTGAATAAAAATGGAAGATGGAATATATGAAAATTTGTGGGATGTAGCCAAAGTAAGGAATAGAGGAAAATTTATAGCATTAAGTTGCTAAGATAAAAAAAGAATGAAGGCCTCAAATCAATAATTAAATTTTCTCCTTAAAAAAACTAAAAAAGAACATCTAACTCAAAAAAGGAAAAAAGAAGGAAATAGCAAAAGGGCATAAAGCAATAGATTTGAAAACAGAAAAGAGAAAATCAACGAAACCAAAATTTGGTTCTTTGAAAGATTTTGAAAAATTGAAAAACTTCTGGCTAGACTAATCAAGAAAAAGAGAAGACACAAATTCCTGATATTAGAAATGAAACAGGTAGCACTGCTTCAGTTCCTAAAGAAATAAAAAGAATAAAGAACTATTCTGAGCAATATGATACCATTAATTTTTTTTATTTTTGATTTTTAATTATTATGGGTACATAATAGTTGTATATCTTTATATGGTCATGTGAGGTTTTGATATAGACATACAATGTAAATTAATCAAATCAGAGTAATTGAGGTATATGTCATGATGAAAGCCATACTGAAGATTCTTGCCATCCTAACATAACAACAAAAACAAATAAAATGTGTATGGAAGAAGTAAAAGTCTGTTTATTGACAAATGATATAGTATAAATCCTAAGTATCTACCAAAACTAGCTACTAGAATTAATAATTGTGTTTAGACACTAAAATTTCAGTATTCAAGATCAACATCATTAAAAATTTCTGTATAATAGCACTGAACAATTGAAAAGAGAAATTTTAAAAGTACAAATTAAAATTTTATCAAAAATATATGAAATACTTCATAATAAATCTGAGAAAATATACATAAGACCAGTACACTAAAACAACAAAACATTGCTGAGAGAAATTAAAGTGTGCCTAAATAAATAAAATTATATACCATGCTCAGGGATTGGGAAATGCAATATTGTTAAGATGACAATTATCCCCATTATTGATCTAGATATTTAATGTATTTCCAACTACATTCCTAGAGGGAATTTTTATAGAAATGAATTAGTTGATTCCAAAATACATATGGAAATACAAAGGACCGGAAATAGCCAAAATAATTTTTAAAAAGGAAAACAATATTAGAGAATTTGAAAAGCTTACTATAAAGCTACCATAATCAAGATAGTGTGGCATTGCTTTAATAAGAGACATATAAGACAATGAAGCAGCATAGATATTCCAGGAACGGACTCACACAGATATACTCTATTGATTATCAAAAAAATGTATAATCAATGGAAAAAGATAGTCTTCAACTAATGGTGCTATAACAGATATCCATATTTTTTTAAAAAAACTTTATCCATTACTTCTCAACATACCCCCAAAATAATGCAAAATGGATCACTGACTTAAACATAAAGGCCAAAATGATGACATTGCTAATAGAAAATATAAGAAATAATCTTTATGACTTGGAGTTAGGCAAAAGATTTTTAGATGGGACACAAAAGCATGAACTGGAAATGAAAAAAGTCGATAATTATCAAAATTAAAAACATTCTGCATAAGATGTTAACAAATTAAAAGGACAAACCACAAATTAAGTGAAAATATTTACAAAACATATGTCTAGGCCTGGCGCGGTGGCTCACACCTGTAATCCTAGCTCTCTGGGAGGCCAAGGTGGGCGGATTGCTAGAGGTCAGGAGTTCGAAACCAGCCTGAGCAAGAGAGAGACCCCGTCTCTACTATAAATAGAAAGAAATTAATTGGCCAACTAATACATATAGAAAAAAAATTAGCCGGGCATGGTGGCACATGCCTGTAGTCCCAGCTACTTGGGAGGCTGAGGCAGCAGGATTGCTTGAGCCCAGGAGTTTGAGGTTGCTGTGAGCTAGCCAGACGTCATGGCACTCACTCTAGCCTGGGCGACAAAGCGAGACTCTGTCTCAAACAAATGGAAAAAAAAAAACATATGTCTAATAAAGGAATTATATCCAGAGTATATTTTTTTAAATTCTTATAAGTCAACTTATAAGAAGACCAAAAAACAAAAAAGATAAAAAATGGGCACACAAAGAAATAAAAAAGCAGGTTCGTGGTGTCCCTTGGAATTTTACATTTAATGTAAAGTTTTATCCACCTGATCCAGCACAGTTAACAGAAGACATAACAAGATATTATTTATGTCTTCAGCTTCAGCAGGACATGGTTGCAGGACGTCTGCCTTGTTCCTTTGCAACGTTGGCATTGTTAGGTTCTTATCCTATCCAGTCTGAGCTGGGAGACTATGACCCAGAACTCCATGGTGTGGATTATGTTAGTGATTTTAAACTGGCCCCAAATCAGACCAAGGAACTTGAAGAGAAGGTCATGGAACTGCACAAGTCATACAGGTCCATGACTCCAGCTCAGGCTGACTTGGAATTTCTTGAGAATGCCAAAAAGTTATCTATGTATGGAGTTGATCTTCATAAAGCAAAGGACTTGGAGGGAGTGGATATCATCCTAGGTGTCTGCTCTAGTGGCCTTCTGGTTTTATAAGCTGAGAATTAACCATTTTCCTTGGCCCAAAGTGCTGAAGATTTCTTACAAACATAGCAGCTTTTTCATCAAGATTCGGCCTGGAGAGCAAGAACAATATGAAAGTACCATTGGATTCAAAATTCCCAGTTACCGAGCAGCTAAGGAATTATGGAAAGTCTGTGTAGAACATCACACATTTTTCAGACTGGCATCTACAATACCATTCCCAAAAGCAAATGTCTTGCACTGGGATCCAAATTTTGATACAGTGGCCGGACCCAAGCTCAGACTAGACAAGCTAGTGCTCTCATTGACAAGCCTGCCCCACACTTTGAGTGTACAGCAAGCAAACGGGCATCTTGGAGCCTTGATGGAGCAGCAGCTGCTGATTCAGCAGACCGAAGTCGTCGGCCCACCTCTGCACCAGCCATTGCTCAGAGTCAGGTCACAGAAGGTGGTGTCCCAGGAGCACCTGTCAAAAAAACAGTGGCCCCCAAAGCACAGAAGGAAACAGTGAAGGCTGAAGTGAAAAAGGAAGAAGAGCCACCTGAGCAAGCTGAGCCAGAGCCCACAGAAGCATGGAAGGATTTAGATAAGAGTCAAGAAGAGATCAAAATGCCTCATGCCAGCATCAGTGAGCTGAAAAAGAACTTCATGGAATCTGCACCAGAACCACGGCCTAGTGAATGGGATAAACGTTTATCCGCTCACTCGCCCTTCCGAACTCTTAACATCAACGGGCAAATCCCCACAGGAGAAGGAAGTATAAATGGCATTCGCACAGAGGAGGTGGCTGTCGTGACAAAGGGGCCACCTACCAATCCAGACTCTGAATGGGAGGGCCCCAAGCAATCAGTAGTTCCTAGTAAGAGCCAGATCCCCACCCGGTCGAAGTCGCCACAGAGCTTTGCCTTTGGCTCCCTCTCCATAAGCAGCAAGGAGACAGAAGAGAAGAAACAGGGGGCAGCTGTGTCTCTTGATATTAAGGAGATGCCAAGAGGCCCAAATGGGGAATGTATAGGAGTGGAGGAACGGGCCAGTGCCTTAAAGTTCTCAGTAACACCAGCTTCCTGTCAGCTCCAACTTGGTGAAAAAAAGTCAGAGAATAGTGAAGAACCAGGAGAGCTACTTGGAAAACAAAATGGATCATTTCTTGATTCTCGTGTGGGTAACCAGTTCGCCACCCTCATTCGAAGTTTCCAGCCTCCCCTGGTGAAGACTCAAACTGTCCCCATCTCAGACACTGCCAATGCCAGGAAAAGTGAAATCCCAACTAAGGATGTTCCTATTGTCCATACTGAGACCAAGACCATCACTTACGAGGCTGCCCAGACTGATGACAGCAATGGGGACTTGGACCCAGGCATTTTGCTGACAGCTCAGACCATCACATCTGAGACCACAAGCAGCACCACCACAACTCAGATTACCAAGACTGTAAAAGGTGGGATTTCAGAGACTCGGATTGAGAAGAGAATTGTGATCACAGGAGATGCCAATATTGACCATGACCAGGTCCTTGTACAAGCCATCAAGGAGGCGAAGGAACAGCACCCAGACATGTCAGTGACCAAGGTGGGCATCCATCAAGAGACCGAGATGGCTGAGGATTGAGCACAGGAACTATCCTGCCCCTAACTCTCTGCCCTTCTCCCATCTAAGAGAAACCAGCGAAACGATAAAGAAGCTACTAATCTGCAATAGACTTCAGACTTCCAAGATTATTCTAAACCACCAGAAAATTAATTTCATTTTCTATTTGGAGTTGATACAAAGAGATTCTTCTAGATATCACTGATGCTTTTGAAGACCTTTTGCTATATTGTGATATCAGAAATTCTTCAACTTTTCACTTTATGGACTGTTTTAAAAGAGTTTTTGGTTTTTTACAGGGTGGCTTGTAACCCCTTCAGCCTAGCCTCTGTCTATGTATTTCCAAGCCCAAAACTGACAGGGTCCACAGAATTCTTTGGGAAACCCTCCAAAGACTCTGTCCGCTGTGTTGGAGGCCAAAGCCAGCACAGTGGAAGGAACTTCCACGCTCCTCCCCTAGACTTATAGCCTTTGGACGACAGCAGAAACTTTATGAACCAGTTCTTTCTCAGAGCCAATGATGTGACTTTACTAGAATGTCAGGCAGGGTGACTGCCCTGACCCACAGACCCCAGAAGAATATCCCTGTCCCTTTATTAAGGGTGGTTTTGGTAAGGCAGAGACCTCTGCTAAGAATGTAATATTATTTTCCCTTCATCCCTTCAAAAAAAAAATAGGCACAAGATTTGAAAAATTATCCACACCAAAGACAATATATGGATGGAAAAGGAGAATATGAAAAAGTATTCATCATTACTCATTAAGGAAATGTGTTGAAACTCATTAAATTTTGCATTGGAAAAAGTAATACTAAAAAAGTTAATACTGGTAAATGTAAATTTAACATAAAAAATTATAATGAGATATTACTACACACCAAATAAAATTTTAGATTAAAATTAAGCAGACTATGGGAAATGTTGACAAGAATATGGAGCAATTAGAATTCTCATCTAGCATTAGTGGGAATGCAAAGTATTAGTCACCTTGGGAAACAGCTTGGCAGTTTTCTTATACAGAAACTATCCCTATAACCCAGCAATCTCTAGGCATTTACCTAAGATAAATGTAAACATGTATTCACAAAGAGACGTGTACTCAGATGTTCCTAGAAGCTTTACTCATAATAACTATAAACAGAAAACAATCCAAATGCCCATCAATGGGTGAATGAATAAACAAATTACGAGGTTGCCATCCAACAGAATAGTATTCAGAAATACAAAGAACTAACTAGTTGTACACACACCGACAGGAATGAGTCTCAAAAGTGTCATGCTACGCGAAAGCAGCCAGGTGCAAAGGATGACATACTGTTTGATTTCATTTATCAAAAATTCCAGAGAAAGCAAAACTATAGTGACAACAAAAGCAGATCATTGCTTGCCTGTGGCTGGAAGTAAGGGAGATTATCTTCAAAGGGGCAAATGGGAACTTTTCAAGGCAATAAAAGTATTTCGTGTCATGACCAAGGTGAGGGCCTTGCGACTCTGTACATTTGCAATCTCACCACCTATTGTTAACATTTTTAGTGTGTTTCCTTCCAATCTCGTTCTTTCCCCTAAATGTCCTGAATCTGTCCTAAAGAAATAATCAGAAATGCATCTGGGTATGAGAGGTAAAGAATTTAATAAAGAATTGGAAACAATTAAAATACCTAACAATATGGGCGTGAACAAATGATGATACATCCATTTAGGGAAATATTATGACTGTAGCCAATAAAAGTCACATTTTCATACAATATTTAATGACATGTGGAAATATTCATGACACGATGTAAAGTACACAAGCGGTAGAGAATATTTTATATTCATATAATCTTAACTTTGTTTGTATATATTATGTATGGATGAATATATGCATAGAATTGTGTGATTTCTTTGTTCTAAAACAGGGCCATGTTACCTATCCAATGTAAAAATGCCAAAGAACCTTCTAGAACTGGCATTGGAAGGAAAATTGTCATCTGAAACAAGGTCATGCAGAGTTAACTTGATCATCCATCTCGTCTCTCCTGGGAGTGGGGCGTCTTGCTGGCTCGGTAGTCTGGCTGTCAGAGTTGCAGGATGAGTGACGCCCATGGTGCCCATTGACACCAGACTCCAATGCAATATGACAAATGTGACAATAAATGGAGACTAAACGAAATGCAAATATTCCAGAATACACTTGAAGGCATATTTTAGGGATGTGGAGACTTGAGAACGCCAATACTCTTCATACTAAGAGACAATCTGGTTTCGTAAAAACGCAGGTATGATTTATAGGCACTTAAGCGAGTCACTTTACCTCCTCTTCTAGAAAATGGGGAACAAGGCTCCCTGTCTCACAGGGCTATGGCAAATATCAAATGAGGTGACATATGTAAAATCAATTTTTAATTTACTAATCACAAGTCCAAGGCCAGGTAGTTTTATTATGTAGCTTTGGGGCCCTTAACAATTACCTGCCGCTTGACTGTATTTCTGATCTACTGTGACAAAAGCTCTCATGGCAAAGAAATAGGAAATCTCTGGAGCTCAAAGGGCTGATTATCAACCAGTAGTGTCTGTCTCAGACAGTGGCCAAGAGCACTGTAACTACAGCCACAAAGGTGGACGGACCGACTTCAGGACCCATACCCCAAACACTACCTTTCCCCAGGCTGGTGCCACTGAGTGTGAAGCTGTAGAGACCTAAGTTTAGTTGTCAGCTCTGTGAAAAATGATGCATTATTTCATTTCACTGAGCCCCAGTTTCACCTATGGTTGAATTAGGATGATAAGACCTCCTCCCATGGTTGTTATGAGATATGAATAAAACCAAGTATGTGGTAGTCTTACAAGAGTCTATGGTACGTATTAGGTACCAAATATATGATCACTCTCTCCCTCTTGACTCAGAATTCTACCAGTTTCTCTAATGACACTCAGTGACAGCCCTTCACACATATGAGAATTAGCGTAGGATTGGGAATGGATGGAGAAAGAGGTACAGGCCCCCCACATGTCCAGACCAATAAAAAACCCAACATCTATTAGAAACAGGAAAGAACTTCTAAAAAGTAAATATGACACATATAATACTGAAATATGTCATGATTCTATTTGCTCCAAAGTGGTATTTAATAAATAGAAATGGAAAAAAATCAAGATAGAACAAAAAATAAAACATATGGTAACTTTATCCCTGTTTGGGGCTTGGTGGTATCTTGAGTTAAAAGCATTCTTGTGAAAATTCAAGGAGGGTCTGATGCCAGGTGGTATTCAGGACCAAGGACAAGGCAAACTTTTAGTCAAACATACCAAGTGTGTAGCAACAGCATGCTGGAGAACTGAGAGCAATTCTTCACCCATCTTCCTCTTGATGGTACGTGGCACCAAAACAGCACCTCATATGTTTCAAAGCACTCTCAAATACATTATCATAATTGAAGCAAACAATAAGACATCTCATTTTACAGATAAGAAAACTGAGTTGTAGACAGAAAGCTAGCAAAATGATTGTACAATAAAGTAACCCAGGCCAGAACATTTATACTTTTAGAATTTTAGGGGCAATCCTTTATTAGAGCTGAAATATGCCAAACTGGCATGTTGGTGCACTTTCCCATATATTTCAGAGATATTTTAAAAGATAATCTCAATGAACATCATTTAAAAACTTACTATTTAAAAAATGCTTCCTCCAAATGTGTCAGATTAAAAATTACTAAAGAAATATCCTAAAATCAATATTTTAAAACTAGTTTGCATCACACACTAGAAGAGAATGAAAACTCACTTCAAATGAAGGGCCAATCCATGAACCCTTTTGCTGTGGTTTTTAGAAATTGCATCTATATGCCACCAGCTTCCATACAGAGTGCTTTGATGGCAAGAGGAGGCAAAGAAAACAGACTTCCCTGAGGTTTCTACACAATGGTGCAGGAGGCTCCCTGAATGGAAAGGAATTTCTGGTCATCTAACAATGAGGAGCAGCTTCAAGCTCTCTTAGTTCCTGAGGAAACGTGGCTAATTCTGGCTGTTGCAAAAAGATTTTGTTGAATAAGGGCACAAATTAAGGTGTTCGCTTTTCCTCGAAACAGAGAAAACCACAAATAGAACACGGTAATAATAGGCAGGCGGGACTATAACATTCTTTTAAAAAATTGGGAACAGGAGGAAGTTGATAGCTCTTAGGTAAATATGACAGGAACTGAAAGCACAATAGGATCTAAATCCATCCAACCGCCAGACAGTAATATCCTGATGAAATTAGTTATTTATAAAAGAATACATTTTCCCACCAGCTCCCTCTGCCTTCCTACATTCCTTCTCTGGAGAGTCCCACCATCAACATGTTAATTGATTGCAACTGATTGGGGTTTCAGTCTCTCTTTCTCTTTTTAGGTTACACTCGGTCCTGTCCCTGAGGACCATTTTAAAGCAATGTATCTCAGAAATATGTGGTGTTCATGCAGATAGCAAGTTCTTAATAGAATCTAGGAAGATGTTCTTTGGCAGAAAATGATTTTGTAGACATTTTTCATTATGATAGATGTGGTATTACAGCCGTGATAAAAAATTTCAAGCTGTGTTGCAGCTTTGTCACTAGTGTTATAAATCACTCACTCGTATATTAAAGTCTGTGGAAAGCAACTGGAAGGAGAAAAAAAACCCTCATCTCCTATTTACAGACGAGGTATAATTTGGTATTATTCTTAAAGGTTCAAGGCAGCTTAGAGAATCTGTATTCAGTGCTTATGTGAGGATCAGGGGATCACATTCCATTACTGCTGAGATGGGGAGGAAACGTCCACGCAGTGAGTTAACACTTTCTGCCATAAATCCTCATGTGAAGGTAAAAAAATAGTCTGTGCTTCCAAGAAATGGAGGACAGAGAAGCCCATTGCCATTTGCAGGATAAGCTAGAAAGGGAATTAATTAAAATTAATAAATTACATACATGAGAAGCAATTGTGAGCCACTACTGCAATTCATTTTGTACATGTGGAAGTATGTATGTATGTTGGTCTACCTTTCTCTGTGCCTTAGTAGGCAGCCAGAATATGTCACTGTATGCTCTGATTTCAGTTGGGCTAAGAAGGTCCTAATTTGGGGTGTTCCAAATTTGGGCATGCCCTCTTGCTCTAGACCATACTGGATTTTGAATAATTTAAACACATTTTGATAGAAAAAACAGGGAGCAGCAAAGACTGACCACAGAGTGACACTTGCCCTTTTTTCTATATATACCTAAATATTTAAATGTAAACATAATGCACATTGCTTTTTGTCCCTCCTCACAATGCTGAGACTCTTTATGTTCACAATGGTCTGACACCCAATTACTCACTGATGGAGGTAGGGTGAGGTGAGGACCAACAGAACCTTCCCACAATCTGCAGCCAAGCCTCTAAGCCAGTGGTTCTCAACCAGGGGGAGTTTTGCCTCCCAAGGGACACTGGTAATGTCTGGAGACCTTTTGCTTGTCATAATATTAGAAAGGATGCTACTGGCATCTAGTGGGTAAAGGCCATGGGTGCTGGTAAACATTCTACAATGCACAAACTACCCACTCCCCCCACCAACAAAGACGTATCTGGTCCACAACATCAACAGTGTTGAGGTTGAGAAACTCTGGTCTAAGGCTAACCAGGCAAACCCTCCTGCCAAGGAAGTGATGATCAGGTCTTGCAAACAGAGTAACTGTGAGCCCAGGGTGAATGCTGATGATTCCAACCTCATTTTAATTACTTGGGGCATGATTCTATTATTTAAAGAGACACAAGAACTTTGTAT